CAGTCATATTAACCTGCAAAATGTTTTTCATTAACAGATTGCCTCCATTAAAGATGCTCATAGCATCAAGATTCAGATCCCCTCCGCGAAGCTGAGTCAACCGTGAATCATTTGAGAATGAAAGATTTCCCCCTTGATCAAAAAAGGCATTGATTGCATGAGCAAGCAACCACACAGTATCGTAGGCATAAAGACCATAAGCATTCAACCCAATTGGGCCTTTAGATGTTTGTCCACTAGTCAAGTTGCTCCACCTTGAAACAAATTTTCTTTTCAGCTCTGTTTCTGGCGTGTACATGCGCAGCGTTAGAACTCCCTGCATATCATCCATCATACCTGAAGGGAGGGGAGAGGCAGTATCTATTAAAGTAGAAAGCCAACTAGTAGCTATCCAGACATATCCAGTTCCCATCATGCCAAGATACTTGGCCACATCAAACACCAGAGGACCCCAACTGCCATAAGCGTGAAGAACAATAATCCGAGACTCTGTTAAAGCCACTTTAACCAGAACATCAGTGATGTTATCCCGATTAGAATCAAGGACCAATGGCGCCTTGTATGATATCTTACATCGTTTCTCAGCAAGCATATTCACTAATGCAGTAATCCCATTTCTCCCATGGTCATCGTCAACATAGAGTGCAATAACCTCTCTCCATCCGTAGTAATCAACCATTTCTGCTATCGCAGCCATCTGATAAAGGTCATTTTGGGTACTTCGAACAAAGAATGGAAACTGGAGTGCTGACAGGGTGGGGTCTGTTACTGAAAATGATACTAGAGGAACTTGGAGTTCATTTGCAATATGAGATATTACATGAGCGGTGACAGCATTCTGCGGTCCAATTATCGCTATTGTGTCTTTCTCCATAAACCGTAAGGCTGCAGACAATCATAAAATACAGAACCATAGTTAATTAACTTATCAATGAATCAGTGATCCTACTACCTATATAATAAAATGTAACAGAAGAGTTTAAAACTTTGAACGAATTCGCAAGACGTACCTTCAATAATGCCCAGAAGTCCACTGTAATTTGAGTCCTGCTTTGTAACAATCATCTTGGTGCCACCAAGAACAGATGGATCAGAATTCACATCTTCGACTGCGGCTTCTATTGCCACTTTGGCAACTTTGCCAATAATGGTGTCGAAAGAGAAAATTGCCCCGACATTTACAACATCTGGTCTAGTGGAGACATTGGTAGTGCTGGCACCATTTGAGGCCAACCCATTACAGAAAATCATCAACACCTGGAGCCAAACTATACTCATGGTTAACTGTACAACCATGAACCCTAAAATTCTCACCTTTCTTTGCCAAGGAAGCAAACCAACCTCCCAGAAAGTGATACAATCAACTGGAGTTCATGAATACTACATAATCAAGAAAACATCGAAAATAAACAAGAAACTCAAAAATTCATCCAATAACATGAATAAAATATTGGTATTGAAAGAATCTGCAGATTTAAGCTCAACAGCATAAGCTCCAATAGAAGTGGATAAAACAGGGTTTAAGAAGCAGAAATTCTCATTAATAAGTAGATCTAATCATGAAACACAACAGCTAGTTGATGAGTATTAAGTAGAAATGCTTAATTACCAACAAATAGATGAAATTAAATTCTCATTAATAAGTAGATCTAATCATGAAACACAATAGCTAGTTGATGAGTATTAAGTAGAAATGCTTAATTACCAACAAATAGATGAAATTAAAGTGAAAAAGCAGCTTGTGAGGAAAGTGCTTACTTTGAGGGAAAAGCAAGAGCTCTCTAAAAAGAGAATTTTTAGTTGTGCGAAAACAAGAAGATACATATTTTAGCAACATTCGATTCAACAGTGAAAGGGAATTTAAAAAGTTAAAAAAACAGTGAAAGAAGGAAAATAAACCTCAGAATGTCGATTCGAGATGAAAAGACAACTAACCCAGCATCTACCGGCTTAATCCAAAGAACTGGACTAAAACCCAGAAACCCTTCTCAGGAAAACTTAATTCCGCCGCAACGACATCCCGTTGCGTAGAAGTTTCCTCTCCAAGAACAACTAGAATTGGCCAACTGGGCTTCTAACCTTCTATCTAAACAACATGAAAGGCATACAAAATGCAAAAAGATTTTTGGAACTTTATGCATAAATTGTCACACATAAGTAGAAAGTTCTCATGTATTGTTGGGAGCATATAATTCGCATGCTTCTAAACGTGGGTCGGAAATCAATACCAGGCAGAAAGCAAGGGACTTTGTTGGACCTGATGAGATGTTGCTCCATGACATGAGGATGACGATCTCGGAATTCTCAGTGGCAAACAAAATGGTGTTTGTGGAGCAATTCCCCCTTTTTCTCACCATGTAAAGTCGGGAGGTGTATAATTGTTGCAGGACTTCTGCTTCCGTTCAGGATATTTTTGCACCAAGTGATCACAACGCACGAAAATGACGTAATTGACTTGTCTTGCCTTTTGTCTTTGTTTTTCTTCTCGCAGGGCTGGTACAGAGATTTTCGAGGTCCGAGACAACATAAAAATATATGCCCTTATTTTATATAAAAAAATATTTATTTTTACACGTAAAATATTGATAAAATTATATTTAGAAAAACACTTTAAAATTAATAATTTAGAAACATGGAATAGTTAATTTATTTTGTATCAAGAGAAGGAAACTAAAAAAACTTCGGGCTTACAAGTAGATGAATTACGAGTTTTGTTTTTCATCTGAACTTTTAAAGTATTTTTGTATAAGTCATAAGTTATTTTTTTTCTTATTTACTAACCTCGTCAATATAAGACTAAAAAAATATTAATGTTTTTGAATCTTTAAGGATATGTATAAGTAATGAATGAACACTAAATTAAACATTTTGATGACACGTAATATTATTTGCAAATTTGGTCCAAAAATTTAGTCCATGCATTATTCTTTACTGAAGATTAGACTTGAATTGGAACGGATATTTAAAAATAGCAACTCACATAGCTCATAGCTAGTAAATAAATTGACAACCAAACAAAAATTTGTAGAAATTGGAGAAAATAAACATGCACATAGCATTTCGAACTTAGGACCTCTCGTTAATTTTAAATAACAAAAATCATTGCTTCTAATTAAACTTCTTGATCATTTAGCTAAATTTTATAAATTTATACTATTATGAAAAGAAATTTGTAAAAATGAGAATGTAAATAAGCACACTTGGTGTTTTGAACTTAAAATCTCCTCATTCATTTTAAACAACAAAACCACCGGGTAAATTTCTTTGTCACTAAACCAAATTTTATAAATTTATACTTTTATAAAAACATATATAAATATATCACCCTAATAATTTTGGTACCTCAATTTTTTTGGGCCCCGGATGGTCACCCTGCGTGCACTGGGCCTGGGTTGGGCCTGCTTCTCGCCAACTTGTTTGGGGTTGTTTTCAGAATGACTAAAGTTACTTTCAAACAACCAACAACGCTTTATAGAGAATGTACTTACGTCACATGCTTGTTCAACATATTTACAATAAAAACACTTTTAGCATAAACTCATATAACCACAAGTATTCTTTAGAAAAGCAATCGCAAAACGGACAGTGACGCATGCAACAAAATAAATAAATAAAATAAATGAAAAAATATATACAAGTGGTGACATCCAAAATCATTCACCTGGCTCGAATATGACTCTAAGAAACCAGTGGAAGTGGTACCTTTATGAGCAAAGAAGCGGACGCCCGTGGCTTCCACCTTCTCATATGCTTCTCCTATTGCTGCTTATGCACAGACAAGAAAAAGAATGTGGTCCATTTTTGATTCTCGGGTCTCAATCAGAAACCGTATTTGTTCAGTTAATTCCAAAAAGATCCTCTTCAGATCTTTTCGACAAGATTTTGAGGATTCGTGAATTGTGTTCATCATACATTATGCAGTCAGTTTTTGTCAAATACTGTTTATGTTTATTTTTACATAAAAATATTTAAAATAATTTTTGACCGCAAGATATACGATAAATGGACACGATTCACGAATCTTCGAAATCCTCATAAAGATGATCCGACGAGGATCCGGACTCCAGTTAATTGGCTTAACCTGGATTCCAGGTTATAAGAGGGTCCTGGAAGCCATAGCCACTTGTGAACCATCTTATATGGACCATGTGGTCCATACTGGACAGTGAGTTGAGTTGGCTGCTTTCACCAAATGATTTAGCACATATGCTCAAGATTCGTTTTTGAAACAAGAGAACTCTGCACACCAAGATATACGATGAATGGACACGATTCACGAATCTTCGAAATCCTCATAAAGATAATCCAATGAAGATCCGAACTCCAGTTAATTGGCTTAACCTGGATTCCAGGTTATAAGATGGTCCTGGAAGCCATAGCCACTTGTGAACCATCTTATATGGACCATGTGGTCCATACTGGACAGTGAGTTGAGTTGGCTGCTTTCACCAAAATGATTTAGCACATATGCTCAAGATTCGTTTTTGAAACAAGAGAACTCTGCACACCAATTTATCATTCAGACCAATGTGGACGTACCACCTCTAAATATCTTCGTCAGAATTTCCAAAACTCATCGGGTGTGCCACTCTAAAATCTCTAGACGACTTGGGGTAAGAATTCTGTTGACTACAAGTTGTCTTTGAGAAACCGGAGTATGTATCCCACGAACTTTTAAGTTTTAGTCAACTAAATTCCTACCTTAGGTCATCTAATAATCTTTAAGTGGCAAAAATAGCATTGACAAACGGCTCACATTACATTACAAATGGTACGTTTGACTAGACTTCGCAAAACATGATGCACAGTGGTTTGGAACGGTTTTCAGCTTGGGTGGTACTTGCATAATAGTCCAAGTTTTGTGTCTACAATTTTCCATTTTAATAAAAAAATTGAATTCGTCACTCCGTACTATAGTCAATTGGTATTCCTCTTCACAGTGGTGAGGAGTCTTAAGTACGAAATTTTAATTATAAGTCTTTTCAACAAACGGTCGTTATTTATGAGATTTGAACTTATGACATTTTCCCACAAACACTTATACAACAACTATCTGTCAATGACATAAGTGTTTGAGTTAAACTTACATCAAGTGATTTAATTTTATACTAATTACAGTACTAACTTAAGTTTCTAATGATTAGGCTTTTGGCTCAGCAAAAGGATAGTGCTATTCACACACCAATTTTTACTTCTCACACACCTCTTAAATTTAAGGCCATCGGATCGAATGAATTGAAGAAGATCAATAACCAAAAATTGACAATGGTGCGTGAGAGGTAAAAATGGGGGTGAGAATAGTACTATCTTATATAAAAAAGTAGACATTTAATTAAACACTTTCATCCAAACCATCAATGCAACTACAATCTTGATCATGCACTACTTTGTTTGAAGCCTTCTCAGTCCTCCTCCTCTTGGTTCTACTTTTCACTTCCTCTTCCCTTTTATTTACAAATGAAACGAAGGATCGAAGGCGTTTTACTTGTGAGCTCTCGCAGTCGGAATCATAATGCTTGCAGTACTGGTGCGCCATGTGAAGAACATGAAGAACAAGAGCAAGAAAGCAAGCTGTGCCGCTCAGCAGAAAGAGGCCCCAGAAGCTGCTCATCGGAAGGCGGTCTACGGCTTGCTTTGCTCCTTCTGCACTACAAGCACTTTTCATCAGCCATTTGTCATGAATCTTTTGAAGATCTCCCTTCTCAGATAGTTTCAACACCGCGGTTGACATGTCAATTGCAAGAGGTGAGTCCCTTGGAAAGGCCTAAAACGAAGGACCAACTATTACTATCGAATATTAATATATGACAACGTAACATATCAAACTAGAGAAATGCTAAGAAAAGTTTCTAATAAACAAATGTCATGTACTTTTGTGAATGATATGAAGGGATATGAGATACTTACAAAACCCCAGCCCATTTTGGTGAATTCTTGACCTACGATACTATATCCACATCGAACGGAGAGGAAGAGCTCCATGTATGCACGCTCATCAATCACTGCAGCAACACCGCCTGCATTAGGACCATCTTTCAAGGCCTTCTCATATTCTTCTGGGGAGTTAAGAGGCACAAGTCTTGACTTGTGTATGTTTAGCTCATCAGTTAAGTAGTTTTCAGCGAATGAATTCTTTAGGAAACCAATGCGATCATTGCCGGTTGCCAGACTTTCAATCCCTTTAACAGGTGAAGAAAGCTGTTCGACGGTGAGGATTGATGTCAGGCTAGCAATGTAGCTTGAGTTGAGTATTAGAACCACAAATAGCCATATGATAAGCACAAATCGACCAAGTGTGCTGCCGGTTTTTTCTTCTGCATAATGTTACCATGGAATAAGATCAGCCAGTTTGTAAGTAAGAATTCTTTTATTCAAACATAGATGCAGAAGGGGGAGCAGGCGGCTCTATCCACCTCGACTACACCTATGTTGATATAGAGGTAAAATTAACAAAACGTAACGCTCTTTATTTCACTTACTCTGGGAGAAGAACATAGTTGAAAAGCTAAACCTGCAAAGCCCCAAAAAAACAGAACGAGAATTATATTAACACATTTAACAAAGTTCAATTTTGCATTAGGAGATGTGCATTGAAGAACTTACCAAATAATTGTGACAAATTGTTTTCTCGGACTGCCTCGAAAATCCTCGTTAGTCCGACGCTCCAAAAGCCAAACAACTGCTCCCACAACTAGGAAGAAAATGCCTGTGACACCCCACATCATTGGAGTAAAAGGCCTCAAAAATGCCCAAGCACTAGAATTCAACTTCCTAATTGGAGCAACCACAACTAGACCAGACTCAACATATGGCTGTGTGAAATCCACCACCTTTGTTCTGCTAGTGGTGATTGTAATATCTCCCACCACACCATCAAACTCCTGCATAAAGATTCAAACCCGAAAAATTAATAATCATACGGATGTCAAGCAAAGTCAAATAATTTTCTGATGTGCCATAAATTTTATACTTACACCAATTTGGATCCTGTGTAGAAGTTCATTGTTTTCAGGGTTTTTTTTACCATCCCCGAAAGCAATAAACTTGAATGGGACACCATATGGCAGCTCGTTTAAGGCGGCTTGAAAGACGTCAATGCAGTAGCCAGTGAACTCAGTGCCTTTTACGCCTACAAACTCGCGGTAGCTAACTCGATTGGGGACTCCAATCCTGAGCTTTCTTCCGTTGTCAGGGAAAACCCACCCGCGAGGCTTCTGAGTTGTTTGTCCGGGCCAGATGACGCTGTATAATCGTTGAGTATCAGTGCTGGAACCATTAAAGTGCAGCTTCCTTTGAGACTTATCAGGTGGATCAAGCGACAGGCCAGAAGAATTGGACCAATAACCAATAGTCCTAGTCCCTGTGCCAATCACATTGATCACTTCGAATGCAGGATTAATCAAGTTTCCATCTGGATTGAACTTGATTTGCCCAGTTAATCCAGTTGTATTAACCTCTAAAATGCTTTGGAGCAGCTGGCTGCCACCATTAAACATGTTCAAAGCATCAAGGTTTAACTTTCCTACTCGTAATTCGCGCAAATTTGAGTCATTTGCAAAAGAAATATTTCCTCCACGAGAGAAAAACGAGTCAAGGGCATGAGCAAGAAGCCACACAGAATCATAGGCATATAGACCATAGGTATTTAAGCCGAAAGAAGAGCCATTCACCCTCCTTGCGCTAGTCAAGTTGCTCCACCGCAATTTAAACTTCTTTTTGAGTTCCGATTCTGGTGTGTACATTTTCAATGTGAGAACCCCTTGAATGTTATCTGTTGCTGTAAAAGGCAAGGAAGGATCTGAATCTATTATAGTGGAAAACCAATCTGTAGCAATCCACACATATGGACTCGACATCATCATTTGGCTTTGCGCTTCGGTGAGCACTTGTAAACCCCAACTAGTATAAATGTGCAGGATCACAATCCTAGACTCCATTGAAGACACACTAATCAGTGCCTTTCTGATTTCATCTTTGGTTGCCTTGGGGCTCAGAGGTACCTTGTACGAAATTTTACAGCGCTTTTCGGATAGCTTGTCCCCCAAGGCAGCAATGGCATTCCGCCCAAAGTCATCATTTACAAAAATTGCTATGACATCTCTCCACTCATAGTAGCCAACAAGGTCTGCTACTGCAGCCATCTCAAAGAGGTCACTCCTCGTCGTTCGAACCAAGAACGGGAACTGATTTGGAGACAGAGTGGGGTCTGTTGCTGCAAATGATAGTAAAGGGACTTGTAGCTCATCGGCGATGTGTGAAATTACATGAGCTGTTGCTGAGAATTGGGGGCCAATTATGGCCACCGTGTCGTTCTCCATGAACTGCAAAGCTGTGATGGAACACAAAAAATTAAAGAAAACTAATGAAAATGACTTCAAATCTTTATATTTTAATAAAGAGTGATGATAATCCCACCCCATTATCCTATTTTTTCATCCACGTTCTAATAAAAATCTTTAAAGTATTATTAACATGTTTATCATTTTATCAAAGGACTATTAAAACCCTACCCCATTTCTTTCCCCCTCTCTCTACGTCCCCGTTTCTCGCTCCTCCGTTCTTCTCTATCTTCGGTTTCATTTCTCTTCTTAGCTTCTGCACCGACCGCCATGGCCAGAAGCACAGAGTATTAGGGGGAGCACGACAGAGTTGTGATGGAGGAAGGGCAAGAGGACTTGTCCTCTCCTCTCGGCCACGTCACGTCTCTCATTTGGAGCTTAAATTTCAATTTCCATTGATTTTGAATGGTATCATTGGTTGATAGTTGCTACAAGTGCAAATGATTTGTTGCAGTAATACATAATCTAGAGATTCATAGCTTGTGGAACAAGATTGAGAAAATGGCATTTGAGAAGAAGAACTGCAAGGTTACTCGTCTTCTTTTTTACTTGGACCTTTGTCGACCGATTTTCTCGAGGCAAGTGTGTATCTGTCAGTTGTTAATGTTAAAGAATCATGGAATGCTTTACGTCCGCTGATACTGATTTCTCTATGGGCGTTGTTGAGTTGAAGGTAATCTTAGTCTATTAAAATTCTTGATTTTCACAAGTTTAATTAAGGTATTGGATTCTGGTGTTTTGGGTTGCCAATGTAACGCATTTTGCTGGAAGTTCCAAAGAGACTAGGGGTGGAAGCAGGATAATGATGGGATGGTGGTGTAATAAAGGTTATTTTAGGAATAATAGTGGGTGGAAAAATAGGATTTTAATTTTTTTTTTCTTTTTTTTTTAATGATGGATGAGATTATAATGGGATGAAAAAAAAATAGAACAATGGGATGGATCTAGTATCACTCTTAATAAAATACCACCTACTAACTTTATTTAAGAATAAGAACAAAAGAATAATTATATATAAAAAAATAAAAAATAAAAAAAAACCCCAACTTGCGCTTAGGTGCGTACCCCACTTCCCTTCCACACTCCATTTTTTTTCTTCCACCTTTTTCTCCCGTTGTTAGCTACATCAATAGATTTTTTATTTATTTTTTGCTTAGAATAAGAAAAATACTTCAAATTGAATTACATTTTTCAGTTTTATTTTTGTGGTGTTGTTTTCCAATAGTAGTTATGATGACGATAAACTTTTCAATGTGCCCAGAACACAGGGTGGTACACTTTATACAAGTTGTGAGATTCTCATGTTAAAAAATTAATAACATAAAAATAAAATTTTTCACCACTTACATAATAACACGTGGTATACCATTTGTGTTATAGGCATAAGGAAAAATTTATCCAAGATGACACCCAAGCTCAATAAATTGGATGGAGAGCTACATTTATTATTGTAGGTATGTTAAAAATATGACAAAATTTTAATTTGGTAATTGAAAACATTTTTTTAAATATAATTACTGAAAACATAATCTTCTTAAGGATTTGGTCTAAATAGTCATTATGGGTTCATCGTTTTCGATGCAATGAGTTCTTTTACAGAACCAAAAAAAGTCTAAGTTTCAAACCTTATGAAACTGAACCAATAATTAAACACTATTTATAAAACTTCACCAATAAGTAGACACTATTCATGAAAAATAAGTACCCTATTTATGAAATTGGACCAATAAGTAGACACTATTTATGAAACGAAAACAAGAATTAGACATTATTTCTAAAACTAAACCAATAGGTGAAAACTATTTATGAAACTGGATTATACATTATTTATGAAACCGGATCAAGAAAGAGACACTATTTATAAAACTGTACCAATTACTATACATTATTTATGAAACTGGATCTAATAACTAGACACTATTTATGAAACATGATCAAGAACTAGACACTATTTATAAAAGTGGACAAAAACTAGGCTCTATTTATGAAATTGGACCAATAAATAGTATAGTACTGTTCAGTTTCATAAATAGTGTTCAGTTTCATAAACAGTGTGTCACATCCCGGCTTGGGCAGAACCACTTCTCGGGCCGGACTCCACCGTATCACGATATTGTCCGCTTTGGATCCCGACCACGCCCTCACGGTTTTGTTTCTGGAAACTCACACGAGAACTTCCCTATGGATCACCCATCATGCGATTGCTCTTGCGTGCTACTCGCTTAACTTTGGAGTTTCGATGGAACCCGAAGCCAGTCAGCTCCCAAAAAGACTCGTGCTAGGTAGGGATGAGAATATACATATAAGGATTACTCCCCTGAGCGATGTGGGATGTCACACAGTGTGCATGTCCTGTAAGTCATTTTTCTTTTTTTAATTGTATCATTTTTATTAAAATTTAAGGTTTTTTTTTTTTTTCATTTTCATTCAAATTTAAGGGGTTTTCATTAAAATCCAATTCTTTTTTATTAAATAAAATTGTAGCATAGTTTTTGGTTAAAATAAACTTGGCCCAACCCTTTTTCATGAAAGTTCCCAAAAAATAAAGATAAAATATTTGGGTCTGTTTGATAACCATTTCATTTGGGCCCCTTTTTACTTCATACATACCCTTTTAATTTGCGGTCATTGGATAGACTGAATCAAAGAAGATCAAATGATAGAAATTAACAAGGAGTGTGTAGATAACACACACCTTTCATTTTCAAGGTTTTAGTGTATTCATTAAAAAAAAAAAAAAAACACTGAAAACTGAGCAATTCGATTACATGACTTGCGCAGAGGAGAAAAACATGGGAAAGTTAACAAGTTTGTACCTTCAATGATGCCTAGAAAGTCACTAGATTTGGTGTTCTGCATTTTAAGTGCCAGCTTTGTTCCATTGAGAATTTCTGGATTGGAATTGACATCTTCAACTGCTAGGGTTATTGCGAGTTTTGCGATTTTTCCAATGACAGAATCGAAAGTGAAAATTGCGCCGACGTTCACAACATCAGGTCTTGCAGTGACATTAGTAGGATTAAGTCCACTAGTAGAAGAGCCTTTGTAGAAAACCATAAATAATAGAAGCAAGGCTAGATTCATGTTCATGTTTGAGCTCCAAAAGGAGGAACAACAAGTAAGGCCAATTGGCTAGAACAGTATGCTTGCTCCCTCCTTGTGCACAAGTTCGAATCCCCCTCTCTGCATGTTATAGAGTAGTTTATACGTTGTATAGAAAGCCAAATTACAGTAAGAACAATAGAACATGCTCCAAAAACACATGCATGCATGTTGTCCAAAAATACCTAATAAATCAATCAAACGTGAACAAGATCAATCTGAAGGGCATAACGAATAATGATTAAAGCTTACATTATGTATCGTCACTCAAGCCAAACACGTACGAATGAGCTCCACGAGAAGGACAGTACGAAACTTCCGTATTTTTAAGTCCAGAAATGGCCTGTGTGTTGTGCAGAATGACCAAGGATTATATAGGCACCAAAACATCACTGGAAAACATGAGCGATCCAATAAGCTTGAAGTCCGCGGGGACATCAGCTGGTGTGAAAATTTGAGTGTACACTGTACACGGTCTTGAAGAAAAGTATCAGAACCAAATAAACAAAAATTTATGACATGATCAAACAAAAAATCATCTTGCTTCTGGGAAAATGTACTTTGCTATGTACGTAGCTGATATCGAACACAAATCTAGAATATGAAAAACTATAGCTCGAAGTTGCGTATGAAAATTGTAACTCTTAATCTACAATGCGTATTTCGACGACGACAAAAAAGGTTACGATATGTACACTTTGACATTCTTAAACAATAAAAAGCAACCAAACTCAATAAGCGGGTGCATTTTATTCACCGCCCTCAAGTGGTGGTACTGCTCATCATTCTAGTTATTATCATTAAATGAATTTAAACTTTGATATTTGTGTCTCTATACTGTACAGATTTTGAAATTTAAACTCTTACGATAATAATAAATAAGGTTACGAACATCATCATCACTTGAATGTGATAAGAAAAAATATAGCAAAAGATAAAGGTTTTTTGAAAATTTTCTTTCAGAGAAATGTTAAAGAGACTCTCTCAAGGTGGGACTCTTCATGGACTTTCTGCCACGCCGTAATTAAACGTTAATTCATATGTCAACACTATAAAAAATTATGCGAAAAACATGAAGTGACAGAAAATTTATGAAGAATCTCATTTTGAAAGAATCTCCTTAACATTTTTTTTGTTTTTTTAATAAAAAAATCTTAGTCACCAATATTGGACAGCAGGCATGGGAATGGGCAACTAGTGTACCATTATCCAATTGACTTGACTTGACTTGGTTAATAGCCACTTCCGGAAAGTGGTGATCACCACTATCTTAACGAAATATAATGTTAAGGTAATAAATTCTTAAATCAAATTTACAAATTAAATTATGTGTCGTCAGTAAGAAATAAACACGTTAATCAACACTTAAGTAATAATTCAATCATCAACAACCATATCATTTAGTTTACTAAATTTTGTTTAAAATTTTAGTCTTCCTAACATTACACTTTCAGCAAAGTGTATCTTATTTTTTTATTTAGATAATGCTAAGTAGACCAAATTTACAAATCAAATTATGTGTCACCAATAGAAAATAAGAACGTTAATTATTACTTAATAATAATCCAATAATCAATATTCACATTATTTGGTTCACAAAAATTGGTTTAGAAATTTGGTCTTCCTAGCATTATCTTTTTTTATTTTTACAAATGATACCGTTAGTTAGTTAGATAGCTAAATATTAAGAAATAGAGAATTAATGTGGATTACTTTTCGCTATTACGGTAAAACGTTATCCTCTAAGGTGGTCATTTTATTCTCCACAACAGTTCTCACTGATCACCAAAAAAATTTATTGTCCTATAATTAGTAGTATAAACTGTGCTTTTTTTTTTTTTTTTAATCATGTGATGTAAGAAAGATAAACACATCTATATATCTATATATAAAGAGAACACAAAAGGTGGATAGTGTTTTTTGTGTCACATGCCTCCAAGACAAAAAAAACTTCAAAAGTATTCCAAAATAATGCATCAAATAAGGTAAGGGTATTTTTGTCATTTTAATAGTGTTTTTTTTAATAATTAAATATTTTTTGCTCTTTTTTTTATATGTATATTTTTTTATTTTAAAAATTAGTGCCTCACAAATAATGTGATTCAATTTCTTTATTTTTAAACACATTCAAAACATCTTAAGAGGTGTGTAATGCTGGTTATAAAAAAAAAAAGTCTTTCACACACGGATAATAATGTGATTAAATGAGTTGTGAAATGATTTTTTTTTTTTAACAAACGATATTATCTACACTAAGGGGGAGCGGGGTGGGTTTGACCTCACAATTGGCTAGCAATAATGTGATTCAATCAGTTGTTTATTAAATATTATTTTCTCTATTTTTAAACACGTTCAAAACATTTTAAGAGGCATGTAATGCCGGTTATAAAAAAATATCTTTCGCATGCGGATAATAATATGATTAAATTAGTTGTTAAATAATTATTTTTTTTAACAAACGATATTACCTACACTAAGGGGGAGGAGATGAGCTTAACCTCACAATGAGCTATCAATAATGTAATTTAATCACTTGTTTATTAAATACTATTTTCTCTATATTTAATGTAAATTCTACAAAGATTGATTTTATTATGTGAATTCAGCTACTTTAATTGGTTTATGAGGGTTTTTTTAGCATGATCTAAGATTATTCATTTACTTCAAATATTTGACTTTACTTTTGTCAATTTACTCATATAAATACATTTAAAACATGTAAGTCACGCGTAGCACGTTGTGATTAAAAAAATGTCTTCTGCATGTGCGTGAGCGCGTGCATGAAGGCTAGTGGTTGAGAAAGTGGAGAAGGGGCTAGTAGCCACTAACCTATGTCGGGAATATGAGGAGACTTTAGAAGCCTGATTAATGAAAATGGATTGCATAAAATAATCAACCAAGTCATTGGGAGGAAAATGGAGAGTAACATTCATGACATAAGTACTCAGTTACTATAACGTTTCGTTAATAATATAATGTTATGTGCAATTTTTTTTACACAAACAATTACAATATACTTGTCACATAAAAGTTAGTCACGGTAAAAATGAGTTTCTATCTTTTCAATAACCCCACGTGTTTCCGCGCACACTTAGTTCACAACATACAATATATTCCAAGGATGACCAAGGTAAACTCCCTAGTCTGAGGTCTCAACTAATCATGTGTTCATAACTAACGCGTTATGCTTCTGGACTTCTTGTTGTGTCACACGTCTAAACATTTGTACCGTGTTCGGCCTTTTGGACTCTTCACATGTGTTTCATACTTATTGTAGAAGAAAAACTTACATGCACTTGAGATTTCATGAATGGCCATATTACAATTATAAATTTAAATATATATATATATATATATTTTTTTAAAGATTAAGTATCTAAAACCCTCCAAACTTTTAATGTCATTTTAAATTGATCTCAACTTTTTAATGTTCCAAATAAGTACTCAGCCTTTTAAAAATGTCACATCTTAAGTTATAGTTAATTTTTCCATTAAATGGCTACAATGAGTCCCACTTTTTAGCTTATTTGGACACTAAAATAATAATAAAAGGTAATGATATGGAGACTAAATTTGTAGACAAAGTCTTGGAAACTAAATGACATAGAAGTTGATAATTGATTTATTACTTAAACATTGATAAACGTGCTTATTTCAATTAGTAACACATCATTTAGTTTGCAAATTTAGTCCTCCTACCATTACACATAATAAAAATAATTTAAAATAAGACATGAAGATGAAAAAATAACAAGTGAATTCAAACAAAAAAAAAAAAAAAAAAAAAAAGAAAAGAAAAGAAAAGCAAAAATAAAGATCGGAAAACATCAAGCCCCCACCACCTCCAAGCTCAACTTGGACCATCGAACTTCCCTCCTAACCTTTATACTCAAAACCCATTAATTGGTTCATCTTCCAGTTTTTCTTTGTGGCTGATGAAGATGGTGGTGGCTGCATCATGGCAGCCATACCATTTCAGCAACCTTCATGACTTTCTTTTTGATATTCTTGAGTTTGGAGGTGATGACTTGATGAGGGTGGTGGCGAATGTTACATAGTGGAGGTTATGCTTCCATGACCTTCTATTGATTTTAGAGGCAAAGTAAGCCCCTTAACAAAAATTTAACTCGGGCTTAATCGATGTAACATTTTTAATAGGCTGGGTACTAGTTTGAAATGTTTAAAAAAGTTGAGACCAATTTGAAATGACATTAAAAGTTAGAGATTTTCGGTACTTAATACTTCTCTTAGTTTTTCTTTTTTAGTACATCAATATTTTTACACTAAAAAGATGAGGAGTTCGATTAAGCAACACAATGGGCAGCCTAATTGGGTATCGAATTCGCCATCTATGAGATTTGAACCTAAGACCTCTCGCTTCCAAGCGAAGATGAATACCATAATGGGCACACTAGAAAGATAATTAACAATGTAATTCAAGTTTTAACAATGTAGTAGTTGAGAAGGGTCGAGAGCGTGACATGTGAATAATGTGGCCTAAGTAGTCAATCCATGCACACCACCGAAGGTCAATAATCACCACCATGGCCTATGATGATAAGGGGCATAATGCATTTGTGACGTCAATACCTCTACTGGATAAGAAAATCCATCATCTTTATTTGGCTTGTGCTATTTATTGATGTCACCTACCATAACACTAATCATCAAGTGGTGTTACTAGTTTAAGTTTATATAAAGAATAAATGGTGCTGCCTGTATTTCATAAACATACCGTAGAATTCTTCATATGAATAAAATAATTCTAATTCTACTGAAGAAGGTGGTGTTTTAAAAGATTCTAATGGTAAATAGTTTCTAAAATTTTGTGCCAATTTAGGCATAGGTGTTCTCATGGTTTTCAATTTGGGTGGCACTTGCATAATTGTCCAAGTTTTGTTTCTCGAATTTTCCCTTCCGATAAAAATTTGAAATTCATCACTTAATAGTGGTCTAGTGATATTTTCATTCACTTAAATGAGAAGTCTTAAGTATGAAATTTTAATAATGAATTGATGGAACAAAATGCACACAAAGGTATAATTTAGAGACTAGGGCTATAATTATTCCAAAGTAAAGGTAAAGCTTTTTGTTATAGCTATTTTCAATAAGTTGGTGTCCTCCTCCTTAAGGCTATGCGAAGTTAAACTTCAATGGGTCGGTTAGTTTGGAGAGAGCGGCAACTACTTTTGTTCTTAGAAATGAGGACGGGCAATCGGTTGGTGTTGGTGCATTGAATCTTGATGGTGCCCCCATATCGGTTGCAGAGGCTGTTGCTTTAAAGGAAGGACTTATATTCACCAGACGCAAAGTGGAAAGGGATTCCAAGCTGGTCCTTCAGGTGGTGCAAGGTGTTTGGATGCCCCCTTGGCATTTTAAACCTATTGTCGAGGATATCAAATTATTGGCTTCTAAATTTCAGTATATCAGTTGGAAGCATATCTTCAGGGAAACAAAATTCTTGGTAGACGAGTTATCTCATTTGGGTCTCTACTAACCCACATTTAGGGATTATTGTCTTCCTTTATCGGCCATGGAACGGTTGGATTAGAGATTTTTTTTTATAAAAAATCGTCGTTTTTGACATTTGAACTCATACCATCTTCCCACAAACACTATTTACTATCTATTTGTCTATGACAAAAGTGTTTGTTTGAGTTAAACTTACATCAAGTGATTTAATATTATACTAATTACAGTATTACATTAAGTTTCTGATGATTAGGCTTTTTGGCTTAGCAAAAAAAGGACTCGTCATTTGTTTAAACACTTTGATCCAAACCATCAATGGAACTACTATGTTGATCATGCACTACTTTAATTGAAGCCTTCTCAGTCCTCCTCCTCTTGGTTCTGCTTTTCACTTCCTCTTCCCTTTTATTGACAAACGAGATGAAGGATCGAAGGCTTTTCGCTAGTGAGCTCTCGCAGTCGGAATCATAATTGATGCAGGAGGCAGGCCTTGAAGAAAACAATTTGAAACCATTAATATGCTTTGAAATAACAAAGGTTTTGTATTTTAATTATTTGGAAATTTGTTAAGTTATTTTGGAAGTTGTAAAGGTGTTGTATAAACCTGAGGTCAATTAATTTGTAAACCCTTATAAATATTGTCCTAGGAAATCTTGAATGGAGGACTTGAATGAATTAAAATATATTTTGCCTTGTGCAATTGAAGTGAGTGATTTCTCCTTCCCCAATCAAGCATTTGGCTTGGTCGTGTGAGTGAATCCACGATTAGCGACGTGAGCGAGCTCCGTTGCCCCTGGTTGAGCGAATCCCAGGTTATCTATTCCCCTCTTCTTGATACCCTTGGTTATGTCCTGCATCAAGTGATATCAGAGCAGGTTATTCGTTGCGGTTGAAGACCATGGCTGTGATTTACAATCTGTTTGAAGAGCACACTGTCTAAGAAACTAGTTTCGTCGATTGGAATTTACCACCAATTTACAATGAGTACATTAACGATGAAGAAGTCAAAGAGAATTTTTTTGATTGGTGTTCTCCACTAAATTATGGCAAGCATGGAATTACCATCGCCTCCAAGGTCGCACCAATTCCATGGAAGGAGAACGAGTTAAACATGGTTGATACGCCTGGGCATGCCAATTTCGGTTGTGAAGTTGAGCGGGTTGTTGGTATAGTCAAGGGTGCAATTTTAGTTGTTGATGCTGGGGAAGGTCCGCTTGCACAGACCCAGTTCGTACTTGCTAGAGCCTTAAAATATGGGCTACACCCCATTCTTCTTCTAAACAAAGTAGATTGTCCAGCAGTTTTTGAGGAAAGGCATACATTCTGCACGCCAAGAACTCTATTTCAAACGGAAATAATACGTGAATGTTTTGTTGCCCAGAATGATAATCAGGTTTTTGAATTTAATTCTAAGCATCTACTTTTGGAACAACATTTATTTTCTTCCCAACGAGTTGATTGGAGTTTTCCTCCAATATATGATGATTACTCTGATGATGGGTATTTGGTGATTTCCACTAAAGAGGTATTTCCAATTAAGTTTATTCAAGAAATTACATCATCAACCACTACACAAGGAAGTCTTGAGCCTACAGTTTTTCAACATCTTCCAATAAAGGAAGGAAACTCCTGGTTGGAAGATGATTTCAATGGCTTTGATGTCGTTGATTGTACTATTTTGCAAATCTGGTTCGGTGCCGTATGTGATGACTTTTCGTTTGCTCTTTTGAAGATATCTTTAAGTTGTTAATACTCAAGTATTTGGAGAGCCCAAACAGTTAACACCTTGGACAGGTCGAAAACCTAAATTCAAATCAAGATTAAAAAGATGCAAACTCGAGGACAAGTTTTTTCTGACAAGAGGAGAATGATGCAGGAGGCATGCCTTGAAGAAAACAATTTGAAACCATTAATATGCTTTGGAATAACAAAGGTTTTGTATTTTAATTATTTGGGAATTTGTTATTTTAGAAGTTGTAAAGGTGTTGTAGAAACCTGAGGTCAATTAATTTGTAAACCCTTATAAATATTATACTATGAAGTCTTGAATGGAGGACTTGAATGAATTAAAATACATTTTGCTTTGTGCAATTGAAGTGAGTGATTTCTCCTTTCCCAATCAAGCATTTGGCTTGGTCGTGTGAGTGAATCCACGATTAGCGACGTGAGCGAGCTCTGTTGCCCCTGGTTGAGCGAATCCCAAGTTATCTATTCCCTTCTTCTTGATACCCTTGGTTCTGTCCTGCATCAATAATGCCTGTAGTACTGGTGGACCATCGAAGAACATGAAGAACAAGAGCCAGAAAGCAAGCTATGCCGCTCAACAGAAAGAGGCCCCAAAAGCTACTCAACGAAAGACGGTCTATGGCTTGCTTTGCTCCTTCTGCACTGCAAGCACTTTTCTTCAGCCATTTGTCATGAATCTTTTGAAGATCTCCCTTCTCCGATAGTTTCAATACCGCAGTTGACATGTGAATTGCAAGAGGCGAGTCCCTTGGAAATGCCTAAAATGAAAGTCACTATTATTAGACGAATATACGAGTTTTAGCCAGTGTGATACATTATGTTGTCATGCTATCGAATATTAATATATAGGACAACGCAACATATCAAGCTAGAGATATGCTACAAAAAGTTTATATTAAAATAAACGTCATGTACTTTTGTGAATGATATGAAGGGATATGATACTTACGAAACCCCATCCCATTTTGATGAATTCTTGACCTACGATACTATATCCACATCGAACGGAGAGGAAGAGCTCCATGTATGCACTCTCATCAATCACAGATGCAACATCGCCTGCACTAGGACCATTTTCAAGGCCTTCTCATATTCTTCTGGGGAGTTAAGAGGCACAAGTCTTGACTTGTATGTTTAGCTCATCAGTTAAGTAGTTTTCAGCGAACGAACCCCTTTGGAAACCAATGGGATCACTGCCGGTTACCAGACTTTCAATCCCTTTAACAGGTGAAGAAAGCTGCTCAACAGTGAGGATTGATGTCAGGCTAGCAATGTAGCTTGAGTTGATTATTAGAACCACAAATAGCCATATGATAAGCACAAATCGAGCAAGCGTGCTGCCGGTTTTTTCTCCTGCACAATGTTACCAAGGAATAAGATCGGACAGTTCATAAGTAAGAATTCTTTTATTCAAACTTAGAAGCAGAGCGGGGAGAACGCAGCTCTATCCACCTTGACTACGCTTGTGTTGATATATAAGTAAAATTAACAAAAGGTAATGTTCTTTGTGCATTTCACTTACTCGGACGGCCTCGAAAATCCTCGTTGGTCCGACGCTCCAAAATCCAAACAACTGCTCCCACAACTAGGAAGAAAATGCCTGTGACACTCCACATCATTGGAGTAAAAGGCCTCAAAAATGCCCAAGCACTAGAGTTCGTCTTCCTAATTAGAGCAACCACAACTAGACCAGACTCAATGTATGGCTGTGTGAAATCCACCATCTTTGTTCTGCTAGTGGTGATTGTAATATCTCCCACCACACCATCAAACTCCTGCATAAAGAGTGAAACCCGAAAAATTAATAATCATAGTGATGTCAGGTAAATTAAGTCAAATAATTTTGATTTGTGACATGAAGTTTATACTTACACCAAATTGGACCCTGGGCAGAAGTTCCTTACTTACACCAATTTTGATATCGAGCAACTCTTGTACCCCGCATCGGAGAAAACAGGAAATGGAGAACTCCGGTGAGTTCTCAAAATTTTCCGATCGAGGTAAGACTCGAAATACATTCAATCTCTACCCCTTTGACGTTCTGATTCAATTTCTGAGTTGTATACATGTTGTGACGACGTTTGGGTGCAAAAATCACGTCGGGGAAGACTTCCCCAATTTCCAACAAGAAACCTGACAGCTTTGAGCCATTTTCCGGCCAACTCCGGCCACGAAAGGACCTCGTGCTGGTATATTTCTACTCCTTTCCTAATATGACTAGGTTTCATTAGGTTTTAGGGTTGAACGGAGCTTGGAAGCTTCGTCTTTCTTCTTCGTGGAATCCGATTGACCCATGGCCTAAAAATCGGGTCAACCCGAGTCGCAACCCAAAACCCAATGATGGGGATCTGTGGGTCATATCCGACCCGGATTCGCGAAACCGGCCTAAGCCAAGATCCGACCCGAGATCGGGCCTAGGTCCATTTCTGAAATGGGAGGGAATATTCCATTAGCTCTTAGTTAACTTTAATAGAATATTCCTTCTGAGGAGGGAATTTTTTGTTAAAGTTAAATGTTGACTTTTTCAAAATTTTCCAGAAACCTTCCTAGACTAATTTTGACACCTTGAGTTTGTTTTTGACATCCATTTAGTGAAATTTCAAAGATTTAATGTAGTTGATCGACTCGGCGTCTTGGTTGACTTTTTAGGGTTAACTATTGACTTTTTTGTTGACTTTTTACAAAATTTACCCGGGACCTCTTTTAGGGTAATTCCACGCTTTGAATTCAAATCCATGCTCCGTTTTCCCAAATTCAATCATGATAGTAGGATTTTATTAATTTGGTCCTTTTATTATGCTTAGGTACTTTTAGCATCGACAATCCGTATTTGCTAGTCTGAGCGGCTCTTTGGCAACGGAGTATCTGTGAGTGGACCCCTTCTCAAATTGCAAATTGCATGTTTTTATAAACTATTAGTCTTGCATTCATGAAAAGCATATTCTTATAATTCTACGTTTGATGAATTATTTATGCCTTATATTGGAGATATATTGCTTTTACGAATTCTTTATGAAATTCTATATTTATGATTTCTTAGAGAATTTATGAATGGCTTTTATGAAGTATTCATGATTCATTGTTTTAAAGTTTATGAGAACTCGTATTTATGGAAATCACGTTTATAGATTTATGAGATTTGGATCCTAAGTTTGATATGAGATTTTGAGATATGTTTTCTATGCTTATCTAGTCGATAATCATACAACACATACACACAACTTGAGTATATATACGTCTATGGCCATAGGACACAGTTGATGATATTTATGAAATATTCCCAGTTTCACTGGTGAAACCAGTGTCGGACAGCTTCACTGGCCACGACTAGTGTCGGTGTGTTATGTTTATAGTTATATTTTCTTCTCTGGTGTAACGCAAAGTCGTACAGCTTCACCTTCGAGTGATGGGGCCTACCATGTTTCTTCATTGGCGTAACCCAGTATCGTACAGCTTCACTTACGGTGATGGTTATGCCTTCAGGCGACTATGATACTCCTAGTTGAGTATATTGCTGAGATGATTTTATGAGATCCTTCATATTTGCCTTCGGGAATTACGATATGATTTTCAGAGATGATTTATCGATACAAACATTTTTGGCATGTTAGAGTTTTCAGAAAAACGTACTATGTAGTATTATATGAGTTTTCAAAATAGGGGGTTAGTATGTTCAAAAAGAGAAATCGGTTTTCTTATTAGTACTATTATAAACTATGGTCCACTCACCCTTTCATTTTTGCACCCCCTTCAGGATTTAAAATTAAGGCATACGATCCCAATGTCAAGGCACTTCTGCATAGGTATGTTCAAGTCTTCTTAGTGTAGGATCCATTTCCTTGTTCGTACATTTTTATAATAATTCTTTCACATTATTCTTGTTTAGTTGTATGCTCTGAACATGTTTCCACATTTGTGTATTTCTTTATAGTTACATTTTTATTCACTTTCGTTTACTGATACCACTTACATGCATGTTAAAGTGGCTTCGTCATCCTCGGGTGTCAGGCCAGAACGTGCCTACTCTGGTATTTAGGGATATCGGGATTGGGGCGTGTCATGTGATGTTAAACTTCGATGGGTCAGTTAGTTTGGAGAGAGCGACAACTGTTTGTTCTTAGAAATGAGGAGGCGCAACCGGTTAGAACTAGTGCATTAAACCTCGATGGTGCCTCCATATTAGTTACAGAGGTTGCTGCTTCAAAGCAATGGCTTATGTTCGCCAAGCTCAAATGTTTGAATAAACTGTTGGTGGAAAGGGATTCCAAGCCGGTCATCTAGATGGTGCAAGGTGTTTAGATGCTCCCTTGTCATCTTAAACCTATTGTCGAGGATATCAAATGGTTGTCTTCTAAATTTCAGTATATTAGTTGGAAGCACATCTTCAGGGAAGCAAATTTCGTGGTAGACGAGTTAGCTCATGTGGGTCTCTATGTTGCTAACCCACATTTCTAGAAGAGAAATTTTATTTAAACCCATATAACCTCTTTATACACCCAACTTAAATTTAAATTGTTAGTTGTCTATTTTACCTTATTGCATAATTACTATTAAGTACAAAATGAAATTAATAACAAAACTCAAATTTATCAATAAACCCACACACTATAATTAAACATTACCATCACTTCTTGTTTATCCTACGTTTATTCCGGCTAAAACCTTAATAGCTCTTGTAGAGAAAAACAAGGTTTTTTATTGATGGATGGTGATTTTGAAGTTTTGAATTCTCCAACTAAAGTATGACTCAATTTATGGATATTTTGTTCATTTGATTTCAATTTTTTTAAAGTTTAGAAGATGAGTATTTTGGATTTCAATATTTTTCATCAATCCCGCATGGTTTGTTAAACTTTCTGCAAACTTTGGATTCCGGTGTTTGTTTGCACCCTAAAACACCAAAAGGACTCGCACTGTTTGTTTGCGCCCCATAACTTTCTACAACACTTTGGGTTCTGGTGTCTGTTTGCACCCTAAAACACTTCAGATTCCGGTGTTTGATATGGAACTCCATTTTATTTTTTTTCTCTGTCGATGTCTGTCTGCACCCCAAAACACCCTTTTAGTGTAGACTTGTAGACTTGTAAATATTTAAAAGTAATAGGCCTTTTAGTGCAAACTTGCAGAATTGCATAATTGCAAGGACCTTAACACATTAACACTTCATATTTTTAATCGATTTAAACCTGGCATATGGTGAGACCAGGCCCCTACTATAAATTATATTCTTCTAGTAAAAGAATGAAAATTTTAAAATAATTCTAGAGATGTTATTTTATAAAGGAAATGGGTGTAAAGATAACTTAACATTTTGAATTGGGTTTGAGAGGGTGGTTTAGGTAATAAATTTGGTTTTAAAGAGAGATTAATTCTTTGACAAAAAACAATATGAGTGAAGAGAGTAAGTTGGGTGTAATAAAAAGTTACATGAGTTCAAATAAAATTTCTCTTTCGAGAATTATTGTCTTCCTTTATCTGCCATGGAGGCCTTTAAATTTGATTGTCTAGAAAACGGTTGTATTAGTTTTCAATAAGCAATAGTCATTTATGTGATTTGAACCCATGACATTCCCACAAACACCTGCATGTAATAACTATCAATTTGTCTATGACAAAAGTGTTTGTTTGAGTTAAACTTACATCAAGTGATTTAATTTTATACTAATTACATTACTAAATTAAGTTTCTAATGATTAGGCTTTTTGGCTTAGCAAAAAAGGGACTCGTCATTCGTTTAAACACTTTGATCCAAACCATCAATGGAACTACTATCTTGATCATGCACTACTTTGTTTGAAGCCTTCTCAGTCCTCCTCCTCTTGGTTCTGCTTTGCACTTCCTCTTCCCTTTTATTTACAAGCGAGACGAAGGATCGAAAGCTTTTCGCATGTGAGCTCTCGCAGTCGGAATCATAATGCCTGTAGTACTGGTGCACCATGCAAAGAGCATGAAGAACAAGAGCCAGAAAGCAAGCTATGCCGCTCAGCAGAAAGAGGCCCCAAAATCTACTCATCGAAAGACGGCCTACGGCTTTCTTTGCTCCTTCTGCACTGCAAGCACTTTTCTTCAGCCATTTGTCATGAATCTTTTGAAGATCTCCCTTCTCTGATAGTTTCAACTCCGCAGTGTAAGACTCATGTTGAGTTGTCAATTATTATGAATCGAATTACTTGAAAGACAAATAACTTGATTTTCAAGATATTTGACTTTTAACGTGATTCAATATTGGTTAGCAAGAATCATGGAACCAAGATATATTTAGTTGACTAATTGAAACCCTAATTAAGTAAGACATATTGTTGTACATGCCTTGGCGGGACAACATTAAGAATAAATGGTGATTTGATGTATTCCTGTAATTACTATAATAGGCGGAATTGGAGGAACCCTGATCACTATATTAAGAGTGTCCCTGCTTTCACAAAACATACGTTCCATTATGAGCAAACCCTATTATTGCTGAAACACTTCCACTTGTTGAAAGTAGAAGACTCCTTTGTCATCCACAAGAGGGTCTTCCGTATTCCAAAGATAAGTAAATTGTAATTGATTTATTGTAATTTTGGTTTATCAAATCCATGATCGTAACATCTTGTTGTTGTTTTTGTGATTTCAAAAATATCCTATATGTGGTATCAGAGCTGCACAACAAGCTTAAGGTCCGATATAAAGGTATAAGCAAATTAGTTTATTGAAAATGATTCACATACTAAAGAAAATTTGCTTATCGTTTTGGTTGGATGCCTTCTACTGTTCCATCTCATGAAAATTGGTTTTGATGCTTCCGCAACTTTGTGTTGGTGTGCAATGATTTTTCGTGGTTAATAACATATATAAAATTGGTGTTAATTAAATGAGATAAATTATTATTTATTTATATTTTGGTAAAAATAATTTTTTTAATTTGGGTTATTGGTTATATAATTTTCGAGCACTACTTTACAACCTATTATTTGAAGCTCGAATTTTTCCTTATGGTTTTGGCCCTCTCGGCACTTTCTGACGAGAATGACTTCTTGTTAGGATACAACTCGGGTAAGAATCTATTTATAGGAGCAAACATTATTTGGCGCGGCTTGACATTTGTGTAGAATTTAATTTCAATTCAAACTCGAGAATTGATCTATGAGCCTTTATCTTTTGCATTCCTCAAAAGAAACCGTGCCGTCAAACTTTGCTTCCTATTTCAACTCGAAATCCTCTCTTTCCACCACGTTGGTCTAGGTGCAACCATGCATGCATAATAAACTCCAATATAATCCCATCTTTATCTTAGGGTAATATTAGAGAGACTGAATTTAGAGATAAAGTTTTGAAAACTAAAGAACATGAAAGTTAATAATTGTTTTATTACTTAAACGTTGATAAACGTACTTATTCTTATTGGTAACATATCATTTAGTTTACAAATTTAATCTTTAAATTTAATCTTCCTAACTTTATTCGTTATTCTATCAAACCCATACATGCATAAGGAGTCAAAATCTCCTACTGATGCATTCCACGTGGCCAAAATCAAAAGGCATATGTCATTCATATGATAATCCTCCCATCCTGCATGCTTCATACCCACACGTCTAAATTCCGAGAATCGCAAATTCAATTGAACTGTATTGCTCGCTTGCAAGTTGGAGCAATGATTTGCATCCAATTTATCCTCTATCAGAAAAATGTCAGGATAATTCTCTCCCCTTTTTTTTCCCTCCCCTTCCCTCCATTCCTATTTGAACGGTCATGGTTAAGTCACGTCAACATCTTATATTAATTTTTTATAGAAAGAAAAAGACAAAATAGAGAATGTGAGAGGATGGAAGAGAATCCTAATCCAAAAAGTTTATACCTTCAATGATGACTAGAAAGTCACTAGATTTGGTGTTTTGCATTTTAAATTTTTAAGTGTTGGCTTTATTCCGTTGAGAACTTCTAGGTCAAAATTGACATCTTCAACTGGAAAGGTTATTGCGAGTTTTGCAATTTTTCCAATGACAGAATCAAATGTGAAAATCGCGCCGATGTTCACAACATCAAGTCTTTTAGTGACATTAGTAAGACTAAGTCCACTAGAAGAAGAGCCTTTGTAGAAAACCATAAATAACAGAAGCAAGGCTTTTCAAACTACAAAAGGACATGTTCGAGCTTTGAAAGAGGGAACGATGAGTTAGACCAGTTGGCTAGGTTGGACAGGATAGTGTGCTCATCGATTTGCACACAAGTTCGAACCCCCTCTGCATATTAGAGTAGTTTAGACGATCACTTGTATAGAAAGCCAAATTACAACAAGAACAATAGAACAAGCTCCAAAAACACATGCATGCATGTTGTCCAAAAATATTTCATAAATTAAACATGAATAAAATCAATCTGAATGGTATAACGAATAATGTTTAAAGCTTACACTACAAAAAAAAAAAGGGCTAAGAACACAAAAGATATGTGCCCTTTTCATTTTCATTGTACATAAATACATATTTGTGCTTTTTAAACTTCATTGGGCACCAAAATATCTCAAATGTGCCCGTTGACTTGAGGACACATTCATTGGTGTCCAAAAAGAGCTTCATTTGTGCCTATAAAAATTTGTGCACAAAAAATGCTGTCAATATTTATAAAAGTAAGTAATTATACTTTTTTTTTATTAATTTACATACGCACAGGTAGTCTTATTGTGCCCTTTGATTTAAATTGTTTAGTTTTATAAACACAATTGTCGTATCTTACTTCAACAGTATGGAGACAAAATTTTATTCTAATTTTATTTTTATTGATCAAGATATTTTTTCATTATTTTAATATTATTTCTCTGTTGGACCTTGGTTCGTGGGACCCGTCCATGTGACCCGCTATCTCGGTTCCTCTTCCCCGTGTAGTCATCAGACTCAAACACTGAGGGCCCGTTTGTTTGACCGGATTAGGAAGGATTGGACTGGATTAGACTGTAATCCCTTGTTTGGTCTGCACCAGGATTAGGTTTAATGACCTTAGGTCGGACTCGCTCAGATTATACACCTCCTTACGAGTTCTTAACGAGGATCCCCAATTTCGGGCGGACTCGTAAGCCCTTCTGATAGAGAGAAAACCGCGAGAGAGTCACTCGTCCAAGAACCCCCCAAGGTCGGTCGTCCTGCTCGTCCTCATCTCTGCATCTTTCCTCATTGTTGTCCTTGCCCTGCTCCCTCATCATCGTCCCTATCATCTACCATTTTCAAACCCAGATCCCACAAAATTGGAAACAAAAGGCAAAAATTTCTGCAATATTTCCATTTTCAAAACTAGATCCAAATCCAAAATTCAGAACAAAAAAGCGAAAAAAAAAAAAAAAACAAAATCGATGTGCGTCTGAAACGCTCAGCAGCTGTGCTCACACTCCACCTAGTCCAGACTCCTTGATCATAGACCTTTGCTAATGATGCTGGAGAAGCAGACCCATGAATACCCAAATGACCCAGACTCTGAATGGGTTCTGATTTGCCAATTGGTCCCCAAAAAAAATTAAGAAGAAAACAGGGAGATGAGTAGAGAGAAATAGGAAGAAAAAGATGGAGATGAAGAGAGAGAGAGAGAGAGAGGGGCGAAGAAGAAAGAGGAAGAAACAGAGGGAGAAGGACGGAGCAAACTTGGAAAGAAATGGGGAGATTAGCAGAAAAGAATCAGGAATGGGGATGGGTGGTTTCTAGAATGAAAAAAAAAGATAGTGGTAGTAATAAAATATTACTAAATGTGTATTAAATAATATAAAATATTAATAAAATATGAATTAAAAATATATTTGTTATTGTCTAGCTTTTTAGTCCGACACTGCACCAAACGCTTCACTAAATTAGTCTAGCTTAGTCTAATCTAAGCCAGTCCAACTTAGTCCCTGAAGCTAGTCCAGTCCGAGATAGTCCGGTACAACAAACGCACCCTCAAATCTCTCTCTACTTTCCCTCATCTCTGTCACACTCAGTCTCTCTCTCTCTCTCAAACACTCCATCTCTCTCTCCCTCTCTCTTTTTGGAAGGTGGATTCTCTGCCAATTCATTTTCATACTCTTTTCATGCTATTTTGTGATGTGTAATCACTATTAAACCACGTTAACATTTTATATTAATTTTTTATAAAAATAATAAAACAGAAAATAATAAAAATATAAAATATTAACATGATTTAACCGTGATTATATAAACAAAAAAGCATTAAAAAAGTATGAAAATAGAAAAACAGACAATCCACACCTCTCTCTCTCGTCAAGTTTTTCTTGCTTTTATTATTAAAAAATTATAAACTGTAAAGCTATTCTTGATTTTATCAATATTTCATTTAATTTTGTACTCTTAAACCGTGGTTTGATTTTAGCTTACCATCAGCAATTCTCATTTTTAAGAGATAAGAAAAAAAAAAAAAAAAAAACGGTGCTTTGATCTTGGTTTTGTCATCCCTCTATATTTTTATTTACTTTCTCCGCGGTCCGTGCCGTCTTTTTCCTCTCCCCACTAAAACTCACTTTGATCACTCTCACTCTCTACCATTTCACTTATTTTCTCAAAAAACCATTTCAACTTCAACCACTTTAATCACACCACCACCACCAACTGCTTAACCTCCTCCCTACATGTCTTCCAGACCCTGAGACGAGGACAGAAGGCGCGGTTTGGAACTTAACCCGAGGGCTCATGACCTCTGTTCGAACTCGGAGGTTTTCCGGCGAAATTCCGCCATACACGGCCAAGGTAAGTCTCGGGATCACCTTGTTTCTCTTCCTTTTGATGTCCTGGTGCAATTCCTGAGTCTGCATGCATGATTGGTAGAGTTTTGGTGCAGATCCAACTCGGGAAGCATTTCCCTAGTTTTTCAGGCGAAACCCGCGACCTTCTAGGCCGTTCTCGGCCAACTTTGGCCACGGCTGGGAACCAAAATGGTATACTTCTAATCCTTGTCTTCCCAGCTCCATTTTGACAGATAGAATGTTGTGTTTGGTTGAGAATGGACCCAAAACGAATACAATTAGAATCTGGGCATTTGCTTTGTTTTCTTTTGTCTAATTTTTGAACTGTGTTTTTTTTTTTTTTTGTATTTGCTCCCGCAGGAAACTCAAAGTCTCCTCAGTTAGGAGTTTTTGTTTTTTTTGTTTGAATGCTTTTTGTATATTTATGCACATAAATTCATAAGTTTGAGCTATACTTTGGGAGTACAAGCTTGATGGAACTCTGCTTGTGGGAATGATGAATTAGTTGGGGAGCAATGAACATGGGAGGAACAAAGCTTTATGAGGAAGATACAGTTGTGCAGTAATGATTGTTTTGGAGTGTTTTCAGTCTGTAGGGTGTTTTGCTTTTATTTTTTATTTTTTATTTTTTTAATATTTAATTGATAGGGCACAATTACAAAATTTGTGGTAAGATGGAAGGGAAAACCGTCTGACAACCTCGTCAGAATAGAGGCACAAAAAAACAATTGTTTGTGCTCAACCCTTTGAGCACTAAACGTCATATTGTCCCATTTGGTCGAAGGGCACGTTGACAAAGGGCACATATTCAATTTTGGTTGCTGCATTATGGAGTAAAAGATAATCGAGAAAAATATGGAGGCAACACATGGATTCTTGGGTAAAAATGATAAAATTATCCTTGAAACACATTGACGCTTCCACGTGCAAGAAGTAGACGATGACGGCTCAATCAAAGTCAAAAGGGGATCAAAATAGGTATTTATTTAAAATCTATATCATCCATTCTCATCAAATCCTCTTTACAAAGTAACTCTAAATTATACTTTTGAAATTGGGATTGATTAGGCAATTAATTGGTTAATTACCTAATTAATTGCAATTATTCAAAATACCACCATAAGTGGTTGGTCCCTACTCTTCAAATAGGGCCGGCCACACCCCTCTATAAATGTCATCATATTTCTTCAAAAACCTAAGTTCAATTCTCTTGTTCAACTCTCCAAATTTCTTTATACATTTTTCCCTCAAATTCTAACTTTGGCATCGGAGGTTCTTTGGCCAAAGCCTCCCTATTCAACGTGGACGCAAGAGACTTTTGGCCTTAACCTAAGGTGTTAATTGTTTTGCATGTGCATTTTCGTCCAAGAAGAAGGAGGCGGAAATTTGCATCCACAAATTGGTACTTTCATTGAGAGTTGAGTCCTACACTCGTAGAAGACCTTCGCTTCAAAGGTTTCTCATTTTCTTGTTCATTTGTAGATTTTTCGTACGTTCTTATTCTTAGAATTTTTATTTATAAAGATTCTTTGATAAAACGTAAAGGAAAAGTACAATGGCTAGAAATTCGGAAACTTCGACGAATGGAAATTCCAACGTTCAAGAGATAGGACCACGGCAATCAACGAGGCTAAACGTGACAATAAGTGGAACGGCACCACCACCACGAAGCCCCATTGTGGCAAGCATTGCGGTGGCCACCACGGTAGCCACCCTTGACAAGGCCCATGACGCCATGTCATCCAAGCCCACATGGGTCCAAGCCCAAGCCGTGCCATCAAAGGCCTACAGCACCAAAGCCACGACCCAAGCTGTGTCACTCCAATTCACGCGAGCCCAGCGCATTGCTGAGCCGAACCAAGGCCCAAGTCCCACGAGTGCCTCACGTGGAGCAGCCCACTACCGTGGCCCAACCCACTCCCGTGGTGTCCCAAGCAGCCCAAGTTGGTCTAAGACCGGTTTAACCATCCCAGTTTCAAATTTTTGGCCCGACAATGGAACTGGGGGCATTTTCAGCTCACTTTTCCGCGGATTTAACATTTCTCAACTCAAATCTCGCACCCGGAGTCTACCACACTTCCACTACTCAAGGAGATGCATTTTATCCAAACTTTTAAACCCGAATGGCGAACAACACTTGTCTCAACAAGTCAAAGAGTTGACAAGCGCCCTTGCAAAGCAGACAACCTTGGTGAATCAACTCTTGCAGCACACCGAGATGCCACATGCCCCAGACGAGGTGTCCCGAAGTAAGACAAGGGTAAACGAACCTCTCCAATAACATCTCGGCAAACAGCCATTCGACCAGCCACGAACTAAGCATTCTGGTAATGTACACTCCCGATTGGGCCCCCGAGATAGCATATACTCTCGCCTTAATGCGTGGAGAAGCGTGCACTCTTGACTAGGCCCACGGACAAGTATACATTCACAGTTGGGGCCACACTCTGATAGTCAACATGAGCAACCTTCTAGGCAAAGTGTTCATTTGCGGCTAGGCCCACAAGGAGCATCCTCCACCTCATATTGGAGTAGGCAGCACGAAGGACGAAGATAAACAATCACTCAATCTGGCTCAAGTTCAATCGGTAGTCTGCAAAGAATTCCCTCGCCTGCCAGAAATGAACCATATGCACCGCCGTTGCGATATAGACGAGCCAAGCACATAGACGGAGTGGCGTGCCTATATGCCTCAAGGAAGTCTCTAAACGAGTTATCGGAGCTAATCTTGAAGTGAGCAGCCTTGAAATAGCCCACCTTACTCAAGGACGTGCCTTGACAATACAACGGCGGAACACCATCATCATTCTTGTGGCTTGAAGAAGACATGCTCGAAGAAATTCTACAAAGGCGCAAGGAAAATTCATTAGACGACTGGTTAAAAAAAAAAAAAAAAAAAAAAAAAGAAAAGGAAGGGACACTGCGCAACAGGCCCCATGGCCTAACAAGGCCCCATGGCCTAACAAGGCCCTCGGCCTCTCTCCTTCCTTCCCACATACGGGCCCACACCAACCCTCGGCCTGAGCCGAGCCACCTCCACACCCAGCCATGCCGTGGCCTCTCCTAACCATTTTTCATACAACCTCGATCCCGTCGAGCCAAGTTTCAAGCCCCGAGGCTCCCAAAAATTATGAAGACAAAGAAAATTTAATTTTTTTTTTACCTTGGTGCAGCATGAAGACGAAGAAAACAATGAAAGACGGTCATTTACATGGGCAAGTGTAGAAGATTGCTAGGGGAGCGAGAACAAATATCCTCTAGCTTTCTATCTCTTGCAGGGTATAATGAATTGCTCTCTGAAGTTGATTTAATATCTCTTTAGAAGTAATTTATTTCCCTTTCCTAGAAGGATCTAATTTTCAATTAAAGAGGAATCTACATCAAAATAGGAAACAATCTTATGTTTCCTAAAGCAAGAAGATATCTACACCTGCAGCCATTTCCTACGAGCAGCCTAACAGGTGTGGGGGCATTTGTGGAGCAAAAAATAATCGAGAAAAATATGGAGGCGACACGTGGATTCTTGGATGATAAGGACAAAATTACCCTTGAGGCACACCGAAGCTCCCACGCGCGAGAAGTAGACAACAACGACTCAATCAAAGTCAAAATGGATCAAAATAGGTATTTATTTAAAACCTATTTCATCCATCCTCATCAAATCCTCCTTACAAGTCAACCCTAAATTATCCTTTTTAAATTAGGATTGATTAGGCAATTAATTGGTTAATTACCCAATTAATTGCCTGATTGCTTGATTGATTGCAATTATTCAAAATACCACCATAAGTGGCCGGTCCCTACTCTCCAAATAGGGCCAGCCACAACCCTATATAAATACCATCATATTTCTCCAAAAACCTAAGTTCAATTCTCTTGCTAAACTCTCCAAATTTCTCTAAACATTTTTCCCTCGAATTCTAGCTTTGGCATCGGAGGTTTTTCGGTCAAAGCCGCCCCCCGCCCCCCCTCCCCCCAAATTCATCATGGGCGCGTGAGGCTCTTGGCCTTGACCTAAGGTGTTAATTGTTTTGCAGATGCATTTTCTTCCACGAAGAAGAAGACGGAAATTTGCATCCACATGCACTGTTGCTATTGTCAAAGGACACATATATTAGTGCCCTTAGGTCTCAATAGACACATTTAACTTTTTGTGTGAATTGGCCATTTTTCTTGTAGTGTTACATTATTTATCGTCACTCAAGCCAAAAACGTACATCTGAGCTCCACGAGAAGGACAAGTATGAAAATTACGTAGTATTAAGCCCAGAAATGGCCTGTGTGTTATGCAGAATGACCAAAGGGTTATATAAGCACCAAAACAACACTGGAAAACAAAAGCTGCCCAATAAGCTTGAAGTCTGAGGGGACATCAGCTGGTGTGAAATTTTGAGAGCGTACACGGTGTTGAAGAAAAATATCTTGCTTTTGGGAGATTGTATTTTGCTATGTAACACGAAACTACAATATGAAAAACTATAGCTCGAATCTACGTATGAAAATTGTAACTCTCAATCTACCATGCTTATTTCGACGACATCCAAAAAGCAACCCAACTCAACAAATAGCAAAAGGCAAAGGTCTTTTGAATGGTTTACAAATACTGGGTATTTCCTAGAAATAATTGTATAGTGGCGGCTACACTTCCAAATAGGGTTGATTTTTGGACATCTTCACACCCTTGTGACCGGCTGCCCCCTCACCAGTGATAAACTTTTTCTTGTTCTCCTTTTTCTCATGTGGCAGCTTCTTGCGGCGCCCATCTCTCCTTCACTGAAAATTGAAGTGACCCATAAAGCAATAAAATGACTCACTAAAGAATCAATAATGTCCATGCTTTCTTTTCTTGAATTGTAATTTTCCACTTGAACCGACTTTGTTGCATGTCTTTGGTTTCATATTTGGTGCAGATTCTCAATTATTCTCTGCTCTGTTTGGAATTTGGTTGTACTAAACTGGATGATTCTTTGGATTACACATGAAAAAGGAAAAGATGGAAAGATGCAAGACAAAGATGGCTTCTTTTTCCGTGTAGTGGAGTACAATCATCTCGTATGACTAATTCATTCATGGGTTATATAAGATCGTATATTTAGTGATACACTACTGTAGCTAAATGTATAAATCCACCATTTTATAGTCAGTTCACACGTTATAGGACTTGAACTAGTTCAATTAAATAAACGTGTATTTCAGTACATATACATTAAATCCATCATCCTATAGCCACTTCACCTATTATATCATTATATTAAATAATAGTATTTTAGTATCATAGAATAATTGTTGTTGGTAAGTACGACCATTGAATGATTGTTAGGTGAGTGACGTTTTATCCTTTTTGTTTAAGAAAAATTAATGAAAAGAGTTTCAAAACTTTGTATTTTAACAAAAAAATCATCTAATAACTTTATTTAATGATAAGGACAAAAAATAAAAATAAAAATAAACATGTGTGCCCAGTGCGTGTCCCTCTACTATAAAAGATAAAAAAAAAACATAAAAAACCATCTAATAACTTTATTTAATGATAAGAACAAAAAAAATCATCTAATAACTTTTTATTAAAATTTTAAGTCGTTTTCATT